AAAATTCATGGTTATCAACAGATATAAGCTGGATATACTTTTCAGCTGTATTAGATCTGCCTGCTGAAGGGTTAACAGCTTTGAGTTGATGTAATGGGATAACTACCTGTTCACAATGTTCGAAAACATGAAAATAATATCAGTAACTATGACACAATTTAACCAATCAATAATTATCTGAAGGCATCAGAAATGTACAGATGAATCCAGGTAACTCGGTGATCAGAAGATGAGAGGTTCAAGAACAAGATCTCTCTCCACAACAACAAATATAATCTCAAATATTCATCAATCTACTAAACGTTTTGATAGTGGTTGCAACAATTTTTTTCCCATGTCTTCTACCATAGAATATATATTTACATTGAAGTTGAATTTATCAAACTGAAGATCTGAACTTCAGAATTGAAGTTCACAACTCTCTCCATATACAGAGATCGTTAACAGGTATATATACTCAAAACAATACTTCCACCCCATGTTCATGTTCACCAAAGCAATACTTGCGCACTAAATAATTCAAAAGAGAAATTAAGAAAGCATGCAATCAAACAAATGTACTAATGCGAAAATAAAAATGCAATTAAAACAATGAGCTTTTTAGCTTTAAATAAAATAAACCATAAATCTAGATATCTTGATTGAGTCAGACAGGCAAAGATTCTAATATCCTCAAATGTTTTTAGGAAGATTTGTCCCTTCTACAACATATACTTCACCCTTGCATAAGGAAAGGAGAAGGAGGAGAGACAATATTATTGAGAATATTATCACGTCTAACACCTTCTCCGCATAACTTTTGTAATCAGCTCACCCCTCCCGTTTATGCCATGGAGAAAGAGAGAGATGGGAATAGTGTTCAAGATGAGAACAAAAGGGTATGTCTTGGAGAAATTGATGGCCATGGAGTAAAACATTTTTAGTACTAGATGACTCCTGATTTGATATATCAATCATATGATCTGAGTGCAAGCAATGTTTTATAACATGCATTTCCATAACGGTAAAACAAAGTAGATTAAACAATTTTTCCATCTTCCAACGAGAAAAAAGCAACCAAATAATAAAGCCATTTGCACCTGTATCAACAACATCTAAATACAAATGAAGCAAGAAGTTCATGTAAGTTTCTAATTCAATTTTAATTTCATATGCAGGTACAATATATTGAATTTATTCACTTGAACATATATTACTCGAGTACTGATCCAAGAGAACTGACATGATGCTTGTGAGTAAGTTATATGATGAATTTTGAAAAGTAGGTAGACATATACTATTTCAAAACCCATATTATAATTTACTTACATGCTCCACCCAAACATGCTCATATCAGACCACATAATCCAAAGCAACCAAAAAATACCTTATAATAGCTCCATTCTGTCTTGTCGCTGGCTTTGTAGGAAAGTGGATTATCACTACAAAATGCGAGCTTTGCAGTTGAGACATATAAAACACCCATGACAGGACCCGCCGACGTGGATAAGTAACATGCAAATGAATTACGGAGTTGCTCCTCAGGAACAGTCTCAATACAAACGGCTTTATAAAAGAGTATTCCACCTTCTGCTAGAACCTTTGATCCCTGTGCAATTCTTCCCAGAGCAGCATCAGCTAGAGTAGGGCTTGTTTTCACTAAGAATACAAAAGGACATTTAGCGACTTCTATGCACAAAGATTAACCAGAAGGAGAGGAACAGAAAGCCTATGGAATATTGGAAAATCTTGAAAATCAAGAGCTTGGTAATGCTTTTATCTGGGTTGTTGAAATTAAATCCATTCCAAATTTCCAAAATGTA